ATTTACCGTCAGCGCATAAGTCCCCTTCGAAGCCCGGAACACAGAAACAGATATGCTGACCAGAGGTGTCAGCCTTACAGGTGCCACCGTTTTTACATGGAGAGGCATCTGTGCACTTTGGAGCTTGAACAAAAAATGGGATGATCAAATAATGTCGAATGCATACAGAAGATGTACTACGTATAGCGGAAGGAAATGGATGAGTGAACTGAACTACTGGATGTCTAAAAGACCATAGTTTACCGTCAGCACACAGGTCACTTGCTAAGTCTTTTACTAAGTCTCTTACTCCACAGTTTCGCGATTCCATGCACAGACATTGAGTCAGAGTGAATTTCAGATGTAAATTGTACAGCGACCTTGGCGAGCTGAATACAATGTCATGGTATTATGGGATGATTATGTTAAAAATTATTTTGGTTGTGAGCTCCGTATAGGAATCAGGGCGTTTCAGGGATTGTACTTTGACTTCATATAGCAATATATAGTGACATCGAACACAAAACACCATATGTTAGATGATAGGGAACGACAATGCGTTTTTGTGATTTTGGATTTACATAAATTAATACAAACCTACTAGCTATTTTCTAAAGTCGTAAGGGTAATAACTTCACGTGTTTACAGTACGCACCAAGTTCACAGGTGTTTCCTCCATAACCTGTGGGACAATCACACACGTACTGCTCACTGTCTGTCTTGCAAGTTCCATCGTTTTCACAATCGTCGTTAGCTTGGCAGTGTGGAGCTGAATTGAAATGTAAAAATCGGTAATTACGCTACGACGAGTTTACAAAAGAAAGACACTGAATGTGAAGCTGTATTATAGCAATCATGATACATTTCATTTTCAAGAACTGGAACCTCGTGTGAAAACCTTTTACATGTGCTTTTTTCTTAATTTGACTTTCAAAGCATATAACACAGCATATTTGTTTTCGTATTTCATAAAACATATTAGTGCTTAATGCTCACGAGTGAATATATTTAATGTAGATTATGTCAGGCGGTTAAGTGTTTTATCAGAAGAACAGTGACAACACTCAAGAAAGTCAAAACTCAACTTTGACAAAGGCATAACTAGATCTTGAGTTAATGACATTTACCTACTTGTTGTTTCGACATGCCTTTCGAGGCAATCCACGGGTCTGTCTGCGAACTCAAATGGTCCTTTATCAACTGATCATATTCTACGTTTGTTTTGATCTTGCCTTGCATGTCATGACGCTCGGAAGTGTACACAATGAAAGAAGGTAGTATTTCGCACATATTTCGTATAAATCTAACTGTTTGACATGGGAAGAAGGACCCAAACCGCATAGGTCTTCAATCACAGATATGGAAAGTAATCCTTTGGTTGGTGTCCTTGCTAAATGGTGTCAGAGTTTGTATGTGCAAAGTTGGCAAAACTTGTAAAATGTCTAATCTTAGGCTATTGTTCTGATAATGATAACAATTTCAAAGTAGTTTCTAATACACTAATATGAGAGGATGTACCCAGTTTACATCTGTCTCCACCCAAACTAGGTTTACATGTACACTCAATGAAGCCGTCTTTAACTTCACATGTTCCTTCATTCTGGCATGGGTTGTTGTCACAGGAAACTTTCAGAAATACAAAGTTTACTCATTTTAAATAATGCATGATAGCTGGTATTTATGTAATAAACCTGCAATAGTTACATTGCATGCTGAATGAAACATGTGTAACATTCAATTTTCAGAACCAAAAGCAAGCTCCATTGATAATATCAAATGTATTCCTGACACCAATAATTTTAAACCTATTATAAGGATTTGTGTTTTACCAGGTCACATACATAATGTGAAAACGGAACGCTATTATTATTAGTGAGATGTATTCTCCATATACATATAGTAACATACATGTAGGTGAAATAATACCTGTAGCCATGTACATAGAAACCTGCAAGGAATTGCAGACAACAGAACATCAGGTCGCCTTGCATCAGAGCAAAAAAATTGTGTTCCCGCCTTAAATGTGTTTTGATAATAGGTCGTTGTCAAGTGAATTCAAAAGTAAATGAAATTACATTGTTGGTGCCAGATCCCAGGGAACAGAGCATTGGTAAATATCGCATCATTCATGCAGTTAGAGTTGTAAAAAACAAAAGAGTGTATAAACTGAGAAATAACAAATTCGTCCCTTCTTCCTGAATTGAACACACATACAATAAGAGAAACGGTTTCGCGTGTAAATTGTTTTATCAATTTTGTGCTTTTAGCTGGATCTCATACAGTTTCAATGGGACTGAGGATTTCTGTGCATAACGTGACAAATGAAGTCACGGAATCAAATACTTTACAGCATACATTACCCTTATGTCAGGTCTAAAAGTTTACTACTAGTCAGCGATCTAACTTCAGTCACCACAGCTTCACTGAGAAAGTGTAATCCAAAACATAACACGTGTTATACACAATGCATACAACATTTCAAGTTTATATGTAACATTTGACCACTTTCTAAATGGCATTGTGTATTCATATATATGTTACAGGGAATGTGTGAAACCATGGAATTTTACGTAATCCCTGACAGAGTCAGTGATATCGTAAAATCCCTGTGAACCCCCAGGGATTTTATGTATTCCCTAAAATTTCAAGGGATTTCATGAAATTTACTGATATATTGGCTTAGGGATTTCATGAACCCCCTGGCAGCCTTTATTGAAAAAGAAAACACCAAATGTATGATGCGAGTACAGAGTATATGCTGATAAATTCATTTGTTTGGACAAGATAGACTTATCACCCCGGCTATTGCACTTCAGTCCCATGTTAAAACATTTACAACGTATCGATCTACACTAGTTAGGACCACAGTTACATTTCTGGACCGTTGTAACATCATTCGTAGAGAGTGAACAAACATTTGAGGATACCGGTATTTCACGCCTTTTCTATAATTGTCATTAGCTTGATCGTGATGCGTAACTATACCAAGAAGGCAAACTATACAAAGCAATACAACTATTTGATCAAACACATCAGCGAGCAGAAATAGTGATTGCTATTTGTGTATCACACATGTCAACAATGATCACAGGGAATCGATTCCATCGCTAATAAATAATATGTATTGTTTTTTAAAATGGCATGAGAGAAAACGCGTATTACGGAAGATTTTCACTTCGGGAACAAATATTCTTTCATAGCATGTACACATGTAGGGTATGCATTTGTAATTATATGCACTTGTACATTGTATATAATAGTTATCATCTTAATTATCGCTATTATCCAAAATTAAACTGCAGATGGATGTCTTAAGCCTGTCCCACGAAGTCACAAATACACACATACAAACAACAGAAATTATCTGATAATGTTAGCATCTTCACAAATGTTTCCTCCCCATCCAGGTGCACGTACACATTCAACAGAACCTTGAAGTTCTATTTGCATGTTTGATACCTATATTGAATGCAGTACATGCGCCCAGATATACACATCAAAATCATTCTATGTATATGTTAAAGGATAAATACTGACACTATTTGTGTTTTATATGTATTACATTCTTGTACTATACGAATGTAAGCCGCACATACAAATCAATTAAAAGTGATTACTCTCAGCAAAGATACATTTTTTAAAGTAAACTGTAGATATGCAGACTCATGACGGACGCAAATTAACAAACAGTAGAGAGAGTAATCTGAAAAATGTTACCGTCTTGACATCTGTTTCCACCCCGGCCACCTGTACACGTGCAGACAATTGAGCCGGTGTCATCTGCACACGTTCCGTCATTCAGGCATGGATTGTTGGTGCAGGACACTTTAAAAAAGACAAAACATGCACAGTTTTGGTGATACATTAAATGCATCTTGATAAACTTTACGTCTGTATTGAAATGTTATGATGTCAGCTTATCGGGGATTGTCAAATTATGTTATTACAAAAGTTTGTTCCCTTTGCTGAAGGCCATATTTCTACAGGATAGTTGATCGTTTCGCGGGGTCAATTATTTGGACACTGACTGTTAAGGGTCACAACAGGGTTTCATCATGTTATTAAATACTGAAGCAGTAACTACCCGGAACTTGAAATTCACCTTGCATGTTTGATACTTATATTCAAACATACACATGTATTAGTATTCACAATGTGGATGATACACATTCTTGTAGTAAACGATTGTATACAACTTATTTCAAAATGATTATTTCAGCAAAGATCCATTTTAGAATGAAAGTGTAAATATTTTTTCATCACAAAGTGCAGTCCCATCACGGGTGCAAATTAACATACAGTAGAGATAGTAATCTGATAATGTTACCATCTTCACACGTGTCTCCATCCCAACCAGGTGCACACGTGCAGACAATGTTGTTAGTGTCAACTGCACACGTTCCTTCATTCAGGCATGGATTGTTTTGCAGGACACTTTAAAAAGACATAGTTTTCATAAGTCAAAACATGCAAAGTTTTGGTGATATATTATATACAATCTTGATAAACTTTGCGTCTGTTATCCAAATGTTATGATGTCAGCTGATCAGGGATTGTCAAAGTATGTTATAACAAATGTTTGCTACCCTTGCTGAAGGCCATATTTCTACAGGATAGTTGATCGTTTCGCGGGGTCAATTATTTGGACACTGACTGTTAAGGGTCACAACAGGGTTTCATCATGTTATTAAATACTGAAGCAGTAACTACCCGGAACTTGAAATTCACCTTGCATGTTTGATACTTATATTCAAACATACATATGTTTGATACTTATATTCAAACATACACATGTTTGATATTTATATTCAAACATACACATGTTTGATACTTATATTCAAACATAAACATGTATGAGTATACAATATGGATGTACATATTATTGTAGTAACTTATTTATAAATGATTACTTTCAGCAAAGATCCATTTTAGAACTAACCTGTAAATATTTCATCAAAAAGTGCAGTCCCATCACGGGTGCAAATTAACATACAGTAGAGATAGTAATCTGATAATGTTACCATCTTCACACGTGTCTCCATCCCAACTAGGCGCACACGTGCAGACAATGTTGCTACTGTCAACTGCACACGTCCCTTCATTCAGGCATGGATTGTTTTTGCAGGACACTTTAAAAAAGACATTGTTTTCAAAAGTCAAAACATGCAAAGTTTTGGTGATACATTAAATGCATCTTGATAAAACTTTACGTCTGTTATCCAAATGTTATAATGCCAGCTTGTCAGGGATTGTCAAATTATGTTATTACAAATGTTTGCTACCCTTGCTGAAGGCCATATTTCTGCAGGATAGTTGATCGTTTCGAGGGGTCAAGTAATTGGACACTGACTGTTAAGGGTCGCAACAGGGTTTCATCATGTAATTTGATACTGAAACAGTAACTACCCGGAACTTGAAATTCACCTTGCATGTTTGATACTTATATTCAAACATACACATGTTTGATACTTATATTCAAACATACACATGTTTGGTACTTATATTCAAACATACACATGTTTGAAACTTATATTCAAACATACTCATGTTTGATACTTATATTCAAACATAAACATGTATGAGTATACAATATGGATGTACATATATTATTGTAGTAAACGAGTTTATACAACTTATTTATATATGATCACTTTCAGCAAAGATCCATTTCAGAACTAACCTGTAAATATTTCATCAAAAAGTGCAGTCCCATCACGGGTGCAAATTAACAGACAGTAGAGATAGTAATCTGATAATGTTACCATCTTCACACGTGTCTCCATCCCAACCAGGCGCACACGTGCAGACAATGTTGCTACTGTCAACTGCACACGTCCCTTCATTCAGGCATGGATTGTTTTTGCAGGACACTTTAAAAAAGACATTGCTTTCAAAAGTCAACGCATGCAAAGTTTTGGTGATACATTAAATGCATCTTGATAAAACTTTACGTCTGTTATCCAAATGTTATGATGTCAGCTTGTCAGGGATTGTCAAATTATGTTATTACAAATGTTTGCTACCCTTGCTGAAGGCCATATTTCTGCAGGATAGTTGATCGTTTCGAGGGGTCAAGTAATTGGACACTGACTGTTAAGGGTCGCAACAGGGTTTCATCATGTAATTTGATACTGAAACAGTAACTACCCGGAACTTGAAATTCACTTTGCACGTTTAATACCTATATTCAAACATTCCCATGTATTAGTACACAATATGGATGTACACATTCTTGTAGTTAACGATTGTACACAACTTATTTAAAAATAATTATTTCAGCAAAGGTCCACTTTAGAATTAAACTGTAAATATTTCATCAAAACCTACAGTCCCATCACGGGTGCAAATTAACAAACAGCAGAGAGAGTAAACTGATAATGTTACCATCTTCACACGTGTCTCCATCCCAACCAGGTGCACATGCACATTCAAATGAGTCGCCGACAACTGAACAGGTTCCTCCATTTTTGCATGGATCACCGGTACAGACAGTACCTATAATGTACATGTTTAAAGATAATTCAAGGCTATCTTGTAAAAATATAGCACAAGATGGAAAAATCAACCTTTAGAGTCACAGATACAGGAGGACAGTCACCCGTAGTAACATTTACCCTTATTGTTCTGTTGATACGTGGAAGGAAAATGCATTTAATGCATAAGATCCAGATCGCGACAATATTGATGTTGTTTTGCAAAACTTACTTGCTATACACTGGCTGCTGAACATCACCACAATCGTGATCAACCCTGTAAACATATATTGGTGTAATATTTGGGTATTTAACTTTTCATTAGCAAACATCATAATGGCCTCTACAGATTTAATTTTAACTGCTCGAGCCTCACAAGAGATATTGTAATCATCTGGACAAATCTACACTAAAATAGAGATGGAACATTCTTGACATGACAAGATATATACAGAGGATACAACTGACACTTCTTCAAAGACATGATAACACACTTGTTAATTCGATGAATGCTTACCCCACATTACACGAGACTTCATACTGACAAACCCCATCTTCTTGCTGCCAGTGGCTATTGTGACCATAGCTCGTTCCTTATATGTGAAGTGCAAGTTACATCTACTTCAGTACAACACATCTGATTGGGAGTAGTGAAAGGGGGAGTGTCTTGAGTCAATATTTGTCACACCTTGTGTTACATAAGTTGCGGTTTCTGTTGGTAACAACAGTCAGGCTTATATCTTTAACGGCATATATCTTGTCTGAAATACCAATGTCAGTGAGAGACGCGACTCAAAGCAGTTGCTAATGATTTGGACTGCAAGTGGAAATACCGCCTTTACTTCGACCTTTATTGACGAGTTAGAGACGATACAGTAGCTAAGCCTGCTACGCGAAGCTATCCTGATGTCTCTCCTTCATCATACCATAACTTTGTTCCATTTCAAATCTTGAATGTATTCTTTGTAGTAGACCAAATATCTGCTTGTGAGTGTAAACGTGTTATATATGTAGGAACCACGTGTCAAGTCGTTTTAGAGTGCAACTGAGAAGGAATACTTTCATAATCGCACGTCATTTCTAAGTTGTCAACAAATTTTGTCTTGCCTTTAAGATGGAGTGAATTCTGTCAGGTACGAACAATATATACCGATTTGATGACGTGTACGGACACCTTTAGGATACTAATTACCTGTTCATGTGAAACTAAAGATTTCATAACTTAACATATCATTGACATTGAGTGCCGTCACGGGGAGAAATAAAGCATGAACTTACTTATAACACTTACAGCCTGTCATATTGAACAATCTCTCAACAATGTAACATCTGCTTTGTGCAGCATCACATGAAATGCCTGTGAACAAAGCTGTCTGTAAAAGGCGGGTGGCATCGATGTACGTTTACATGATGTTACAAACGTTTTGTATGTCTTTCGAGAGGGAAATGCATTGAATCTTTAACAAAATCTGAACTGGAAATATCATACAGTCAACGTCTGTCTATTCTCAACATCACTTGTTTATTGGCCTTTTCACACTCATGTGAGTACATGTCATCATCTTGGTATGGCAAGAGACCCTTAGTAAGACGTATCATAACACCTATCCTCCACAGGAGGTCCCAGTTGTTGAATATGTCTTGCTCATGGTGCCTAGCTATGATTTGTGGTATGTTTCCCCAGACAAAATGTCAACATTACGTACCGAGCAAGTGGTAAAAAACAGGTGGTATAGTTGTCAGATGATGAATGTGTTTGTGCCCTCGAATATATTTCAAACCTAGAAGTTGTTGAAGTACTAGTACCCAATGCCTACAGAAGACATGTTGAAGCCAGTAAGCAGTTTATGAAGGTGCAAGCATTTAAGACAAAGACAAACAAATCACATTTGTCAGTGACTATTAATCATGCCAAAGCTATATGAGTTCTTTTAATACTCAACAATTGTCAAATATTTGGCTAATTGATAACTATGTTTAATGTTTATAGGAAGGTTAAAACATCGTGAAAAAGATGCATTGGAACGGGATTTGGTTGACATTTAAGTGTCTCCATCTAATGTTCCGGACCGGTCCAAGATCAACCATTAACGATGAAACATCCAGAAAACATTTGTTTAAATTGATGGTGTCGGATAGTGACCTTTAAAGTTGAAAATTAAACATTATGACAGAACTGCTGCTTGTGAATTTGAGATTCAACATGATATTTATTAATTTTGTTCAGATGCTTTCCACGATTCATACAACAGATTTACTGCAGATATGTCTTACACTTTTGCAAATGCGTGTGTGGTTCATATTGATATACATTGTATATGTTAAGAATATCCAAGTGTTACTGAGAAGATATACTCAATACACCAGATGTATTAATTTTCATCTGTTCATTCTCGGAGGTCATTGTTATAATTAAGGAAGCCATGTTGCTGTAACAATACAATGTAGTTTTCAACTATGAACATAAGTAAAGGGAGTTTACATGAACACGATAGCTACATTTCCACGAAATGATGGCTCTATAGTGCAAATGTACCATTTTAATAAAATGCACATATGCTGCTGTTAATAGAACAATTCAATTTTGTTTTAAACTGTAATGATGAGTACAAAGTCCATTAAAAGTCAGCTACATGAAACTGTGCTTGGACTTCGACATTGCGTACGTGACATGAAACACTGGTTAGTGCAGACTCAAGGGTCAAGGCATTGAGGTGCACTTCAAATAATTCAAATAAACTATTGTCAAAGACAAAAGTGCATCGTTCAAATTCTATTGCAGTGAAACGAAAATTACAGGCCTTAGTTTGATAATACCATGGGATTATCCGTGCACGATAATAGTGAGTGAGTGAGTGAGTTAATATTTAACGTCACATCGGCAATATTTCAGCCATATAGTGACGAGAACATATTTTATATTGAAGTGGAATATATATATAAAACCTGTCGACGAAGGACAGTAAAACAACTAGAATATCACAATTTCAACTAAAACTAGTATGGAGAGTTAAAACTGATAGCACTATTTGGACAATACAATATAAAAACAAGCTATAGATCGCCAACACCAGAAGGTAGATCACCAAACTAGGGACCATGGGGACTTACAGTACCTTGGCTACCTGCATGGACCCTAGTTGGATTTTACACCATCCCTTCAGCTGCTGCCGATTGTAAGAAATGTTAGCTACAATTAAAAAGACAAGAATGCTACGTCTAAAAACTTCTGGCAAGTTTAAATTGACTTTGAAAGTTTTGGGACTTACGTATCCTCTCAGGAGGACAATAATTTTACAGTACTTTAACCCCCCTCGAGGATACAGCCACTAACAATCTGTGTTACTAATTCAAACTTCCAATCATAAAATATTTAGCTGTTTACAAATCTGTTAACAAATTTAATTATTTTAAAAAACCAATAATTAAATGAGGACTTATATTAGTAAAAAGATCCTTCATAGTTCGGGATTTGAAATAGATATCCCTAGTGATGGAGTACTCAACACAGTCAAGCAAGACATGCTTGACCGTGATTCGTTCATCACAAGGGATACAAAACGGAGGATCCTCAACTTTTAACAGGTACTCATGCGTATATCTTGTGTGGCCAATACGACATCGTCGAATGATGACCTCTTCAAATCTGGACTGACAACCCAAGTAAATGTAACCGATAGCTGGTTTTATTTCATGTAATTTATTGATACCTACTTGGGTGTCCCACTTCTTCTGCATCAGATCACGGATGTAAGTTCTAATGCAAGCTTTGTAATCAGAGTAAGGAATAAGAAGTGGTGTCGCAGATTTGTTGAGTGCTGCCTTGGCAGCAAGATCGGCCATTGTGTTCCCAGAAATGCCAACGTAACCAACAGAAGACGATGTCGCATTGGCCAGTAGCAAGATCATTATATTACTACCCATCAAAAGTTTAGACTCACTTAAAGCACTCACTATATGTTATGTATATGTATGTGGTTACATCGAAGATGAATTTCTCCACCAACTTGGGGGAACCAACTGAAAACCTTATGCAGATGAATTGCACAAGGATGATGCTTCAAATTGCGAAAGGCATGAGCAAATGTCGTGCATGTGAACAGATGCGTTTTGGTGTAAAGTTTTGTTAAGAATTCGCCAATTTTCACAGATTTTAATCATTTACTGAACTCATGACAATAATCTTTTCAATGTTACGAATATGTTTTACAATACACCAGTTCATAACTAAACAGTACCTTTAAACAGTATGGAATATTTTGCAAAAAGCTAGTTTAGAACAGTGGACAAGTAAGTGGCTACATTTACACTAGTGAGTCTAAACTTTTGATGGGTAGTATATACAGAAAATATTATATATTGTTTATGTTTGGGATGTCTTTGAATATACTTAAGAGCTGTTAAGATGGCGTTTTCTTCAGCTGTAAATATAGGGCTGTTATCAGGTATTCTAGAAGATATTGTTCTGGATCCAATGACAGTGGCACATGCCACTGCGCCACCGTCCTTGGATCCATCTGTAAATAAGGATTTATATGTATTATATTTATTTCTTAACTGACTAAATTCTTGTTTATACTGTAATTCATTAGTTTCTGATTTTTTAAATGTGGTCAAAGTTACGTCAACTTGGGGCCTAACCAACTGCCAAGGGGAAGAAGAAAGAAGACGGGAAGGAGCTATAGTTTCCAGCTCAATGCCGGCAGCAGAAATGAATGGTTTAATTCTGTGCCCAAGAGGCGGAACAAGAGAAGACTTTTTGTTGTATAGATCGTCATAGAGAGGATTAAAAACACAATTAAATGCAGGATTTGACTCGTTAGAATACAGTTTAGTTACATACTGCAAGGATAATTTTATACGGCGTTGGTCAAGAGATGGCTCATCAGCCTCGACGTAAAGACTGTCATTAGGAGAGGTTCTAAAAGATCCAAGACTAAGTCTTAGACCTTGGTGATGGATAGAATCAAGTATTTTGAGGTTGCTTTTACAGGCTCCACCATATACAATGGAGCCGTAATCAAGTTTCGAACGGATGAGAGATCTGTATAGGTGTAGTAGGATAGTTTGGTCCCCTCCCCACTTAGAATTTGAAACGACTTTTAACAGATCAAGTGCCTTCAGGCATTTAGTTTTAAGGGATTTAATATGTGGTAGAAACGTTAAGTGTGAGTCAAAAAATACCCAAGAACTTGGCCTCTTGCACAACTTTGATGGGTGTGCCATTTTAGAGATAGTTCCGGTCTGTATGCGGTTTGTATTTACGGCAGAAATGTATACAATTAGTTTTGGATTTAGAAAATGTAAAGCCGTTTTCAAGACACCATTTATCTATTTTGTTCAAACACAACTGCATTTGCCGTTCAATAGTACGCATATTTTTACCACGACAAGAAAAATTTAAATCATCCACAAAAAGTGACCCATCAAGTGAATCATTTAAAACTTTAGATAAACTGTTAATTTTTGATACTAAATAAAAGTGACGAACAAAATACTGCCTTGTGGCACACCCTGATCCTGATGATAATGATCAGATAGGGTCGAACCCACGCGGACTTGAAATTGCCTGTCAGTTAAAAGTTGGATATGAAGTGAGGCAAACTGGGCCTCGTAATCCAAAAATCATGTAAATCTTTTTAAAATACCATATTTCCACGTAGTGTCATATGCTTTTTCTAAATCGAAAAAGATAGACACTGCATGTTGGTTATTAATAATTGCATTTTAACAAATGACTCCAACCGGACTAAATGGTCAACAGTACTTCGATTTTTCCGAAATCCACATTGAATATTTGTAATTAAATTGTTGGATTCCAAATACCATATTAATCTATTGTTGATCATTCGTTCCATAGTTTTACAAACGCAACTAGTCAAGGAAATGGGTCGATAATTTGAGGGATCAGTATAATCCCGTCCAGGTTTTGGAATGGGCACAACTATGGCATCACGCCATGATGATGGGAATGTACCAGATGTCCAAATATCATCATATATAGTTAACAAGGTTTGTAAGCATGTTTCTGGTAAATGTTTCAGGAGTTGATAATGGATGTTATCAGCTCCTGTAGCAGTATTATGAGCTTGTTCAAGAGCATCATGGAGCTCATGAATAGAAAAAATTTCGTTATAATGTTCTCCATTATCTGAATTGAAATTTATAATTTTCTTCTCTTGTTGTTTTTGATATTTTTGAAAGTGAGGCACATAGTTAGAAGAGTAAGAGTGTTTAGCAAGAGTTTCGCCCAGTTTATTCGCAATATCGGACTTATTGGTCAATAAGTGATCTCCATGGTTAAGATGGTGGATGCTGGATTTAGTACCCTTACCTCTAATTCTTTGTATCATGTTCCATACCTTGGACATAGGCGTTCGTGAATTGATTTTCGACACAAAAATTTCGCCAGGATTGCCGTTATTGTGCTTAATTGTACGTCGGGCTTTAGCATTAGAAATTTTATATTTATTCAAATTATGCACCGTTGGATGGCGACGGAAATAGTGTTCAGCCTTTTTTCGTGCCTTCCTAGCTTGCTTACAGTCATTGTTAAACCACGGTTTACGTATGTGAGGATTTGTAGAGGACTTTGGAATGCATTCGTCAGCAATTTTGTTTAGTTCATCAGAAAAGAATTGCACAGGGTCGGAAACATCTCTAAAGAGTCCAGGTTTTAATTTGTTAGATGACATTATTTCAAACAAAGGCCAGTTAGCTTTTGAGAAATTCCATTTGGAACATGGAGGAACATCAGACGGAGTTACAGCTTTTAGAATGGTTGGAAAATGGTCACTTCCACATAGGTCGTCATGGACTGACCAATCAAACTCATTAAGGAGATCAGAGTCTGTTATGGATAAATCGAGAGAAAAATATGTACCCGTGCCAGGATGTAAGTATGTGTTAGAGTTATCATTAAAGAGACATAGAATGTTGTTAGAAAGAAAGTCTTCTAGTACTTTCCCTTTACAGTTTGTATGTGGACTTCCCCAAAGAAAGGGGATTGTGGCCATTCAAGTCTCCCATGATGATACAAGGTTTTGGAAGCTGGTCGTAGAGTTCTTGAAGATCAGCAGGTTGGAGAGAAGAAGAAGGGGGCACATAGAGTGAGCACAAAGTAAAAACAATGTGCATGGTCACACGTACAGCAACAGATTGAAGTGTAGTTTTCAGAGGAACAGGACTGTGTATTATGTCCTGCCTCACTAATATCGAAGCCCCTCCAGTGGCTTTTGGCCCTGGGGGAGAATAATAATTGTATGAATTATACTGTCGTACATCAAATCGATCGTTTTCTTTGAAATAGGTTTCCTGTAAACAAAATGCTGACGGTCTAAAATCTTGTATAAGTAAATGTAAATCATTAAGATTATTCCTTAGTCCCCTACAATTCCACTGAATAATAGTTGTAGAGCTCATGGAGGCTTAATTGGCGTTCGTGATCGGGAGTGGGGTCTATTCCCATCTACAGGGGTTGTGGGACTGACCTCCATCTCTAAAGGTTCAAATGGATTGTGAACCTCTACAACAGATGGCCCAGGAGGCACCTCGACGTGCTGGAGAGCCCTGGTCTTTTTCTTTAGTTTTTTCTTTTCACTGTTCGATAAATGTTTATGGCTACTGCATGCATCTTTACCATTTTGCAAATCTGGTTCAGACGTGACGTCACGTAAGGGTTCCGACAATTTCTTGTCTGAGAACATGACACAGATGTGTCTATCTGTTTTGTTGACATCTGAGAAACATCATCTAGAATGAGCTGGTTTGTAACCCAGGAAATTGATGTCTGACACATGACGGAAGTTGTGACAACTTTAGCGACTGGAGATGGGGCAGAAATGACGGTTGAATATTTGATGGTAGGAGTTTCAGAAGGATTTGGAACCAATTTTTTGCTTCAAGAAAAGAAATATTTTGGGTATATATGATTTTAAGAATTTCAGATTCTCGTTGGAAAAAGGAACATGTTTTTGAGGAGGCCAAATGCTCTCCATTGCAGTTAGCCCACTTGCCCACTCAGTGCTTTCATGGTTACCACTGCAACGGTAACACGTGTTTTTTTTTTTGCAAGTGTTTGTTCCATGTCCAAATCGCTGGCATTTATAGCACCGGAGAGGATTTGGAACATAAACGTCCACACCGATATTGAAATACCCAGCTTTGATTGATATTGGAAGGACTGCAAGGCCAAAAGTAAAGAGATAAGTGTTTGTTTTGACAACTTCATCATTTTGTTTTCTGGTAAAGCGTGTAACGGCCGTAACTCCTTGATTCTTTAGTTCAGCTGCAATTTCTTCCTCGCTCATGTCTGACAGACAACGCTCGGTCCCTGATTATTCCTCGACATGAGTTCAGTGTCTTGTGCTCCGAGACAACAACTGGAGTGTTAACAAACTGTTCTAAGGACAGCAGATTAACTGATTGTGGTCTCCTTGCACATTCCACTAAGATAGAACCACCTCGGAGACGTGAAACATTCTTAACATCGCCACAGACACCTTTGATGCCTTTAGCAATGACAAAGGGATTAAGTTTTAACGGATTGCCATCCTCAGATGCAATGATGAGAAATCTCGGCCAAGAATCTGTGACGTTTTGAAGGATTTCAGATGATAAACCATCAACATGACGGCGTTTGTGCTTTGATGAACCAGGAAAGGTATTGTGAGCCATGGTTATAGTAATGTGATTCGACACCTCTGTTCTCCACCCACCATGGAGTGTCAACAAGGACAATGTTGCAGCGGAAACCAATCTGCAACATTAGGGTTACAGGAGCGTTATACTCCAGGTATAAAAACATGAAAAGCTGCAATGACTAAAAGAAGAAATGCCAGGCTGGTTCGGCACATGACACTTTTCCCAAGAAATACAGAAGTCAGAGGTCCGTATATCCAGATTGGCCCATGAGCCACCGCCTTCTGGTATTGGACTCTAGGCAATTTAACAAAACACAAAAATTACTGGTAAGTAGTGTTAGATAGACTTGCCGTGAACAACAGCTGTTAACAACACGCTGTCCATACTCAGGGCATGACATGACCAGCCGATTGATAGAACCGGGCCAGTTCTACCACCCGTCTAGGTGAAGTAAGGGGCGAAGTGGTGTGTTGGGCAAAAGGAACACGGTTCCAGGATCCTATTGCCCTCAACCACCAGCCTCCCGTCCACCGACACAGGGGCGCAACCCACGGCAAACGGGTTGGTGGACCAAATATCCCCACGGGTCCACCACGGGGGGTTGAAGGGCGCTTAGCGTTACCCAGCACCCACCACGAGGAGGTGGCCCTTCATTGGTGCCTGCACGATGATAAGACATTCCAATAAGACACCTCTAATCTCCAGATACTCTGCAAAATCTGTTATCTGTCGAGTGTTAAGTCTTGTTTGGCCTACCTGTGAGAGAGTTAGTCGCGTGAAGGAATGGTGTATTGATGATCAGTGAAACTCACATAAGAAAATTATTAACAATATGGGTGATGATACATGTCTGATAATATACTAGCCACATAAAGAAACTGTGCATTGTCAAAATATTATCCCAGTTGATAAGAACGGTAACAATATCAAAGGTACATATAAAAACTTTAATGGAGGGATCATGAGACCATAACAAGTCGGGAGAATTTCAACTGAAAAGTCAATCAAAATGACGTTACGAGTCCACCATCGGCATTGAGAACAGCAGTGCATCGACGACGCATAGAGCCTATCAAACGTGCAAGGAAGGCTTGTGGGATGTCACGCCAGATTCTCTCAAGTTCTGTTGCAAGGTCAAGGACGTTATCTGGCGGATGAGGAAGACGGCGTAGACGTCGATCTATCTCGTCCCAAACATGCTCTATCGGTGAGAGATAACGGTGAATTTGCAGGCCAAGGCAGTAAGTCAATGTTGTGGTGTTGCAAGAAATCCATAGCAACCCTTGCCGTATGAGGGCGGGCATTGTCCTGTTGGAATGTTAACCCAGGGCCAGGGCGTGGCAGAAAAGGAATTGCCACAGGTCGAAGGATCTGATCCCTGTAGCCCACACCAGTTAAGTTGCCCTGAACAATCACCAAAGGAGTTCTTTGGTGTGCTGTTATGCCACCCCAAATCATCACGGAACCACCACCAAAGCGATTCCTCTCCAAGACACAGGTCTGTAAAAAACAACACTTCTCCACCAAAACAAGGGTCTGCGGACATGATTTCGGCACCACATTCGGCGAGCTTGTCGATGACGTTGTGTCAGGATAGGCCGTATGGCGGGACGTCGTGGTCTGATCCCGTGATGACGTAAACGTTGTCGAACTGTGTTGGGTGGATACGGCGAAGTCCTGGGATGGTTCGGGCAGTCATCACTGCAATCTGAAACCTGTGGCGAAGATGGGTCACCCTTATCCATCTGTCCTGTCTTGGCGTTGCTAAACGTGGACGTCCAGAACGTGGCCGATCGATGACGTCATTTGTGTTCTGGTAGTGTCTCACCAGCGCAGAAATGGTGTTCCGGTGGCAGTGGAAATGTGCAGCCACTTGTCTTTGAGACATTCCCCACGGACCATCCCAATGGCTTCATGACGTTGTGCGGACGTGAGCCTTGGCATGCTATGCGTTTCAATAGCCGTTTAATTTTTTTGAACGATCGCAAGGTCAGGGGTTGAGCTTTCCAAAGTGACAGTATTGTGTGGCATTCATTTGGTCTGTTTCTCTTTCCCGGAATGCACGTGCAACAACGTATTGCACGTCTCAAGGACGAACCCACTGACGTCACGGAACGTGGCACGTGCATGCATGTTGGATACATGTCACTAATCTCTGAGTTTAAATCCTTATGTGTCTACACAGGTTTGATAAATTTAGATTTTACACTTTTGTATGCACAGTTTCTTTATGTGCCTAGTATATATTGCATGCTTTTGTATTTAGCTGAACATACGTGGTACAATCATATTTAGCTTAAGGTGAAGTACATTCACTGGAGGAGTGAAACAATTTTGTATATACCTGAATTGAATGTACAGCCTGTGATTTGAATGATTCAGGCAAGTAGCCTTTGTAAGTGAATTCGAAGTGACCAGCCTATAGACAAAGCATTAAAAACTCGAATATTTGTACTGAAGCCCAGTGTTACTCTGGTCTGGTTGAGAAGTATCTTGTAGTTTTGACTTCTGTCAGTTTTCTTCCCATGATATGGAGGTGAGTAAATTATGTACAACTCTTGTACCCACGTCGGTCCTGTTGGAATATGTTAAATACGGAAATTTCCTAACTGCGAAATCATGATGTTCTTACAGACTTTAATAACCAACAGCCATATAACTTCTATTATTGTACAACCCAATCACTTAATCTCTATCGACCCGTGAAGATCCGGGGTAGAATAGGTCTTCAGCAACCCATGTACTTGCCATAAAAAGGCGACTATCTTGTCGTAAGAGGCGACTAACGGGATCGGGTGGTCAGTTTCGCTGATTTGGTTGACACATGTCATCGGTTCCCAATTGCGCAGATCGATGCTCATGCTGTTGATCACTGGATTGTCTGGTCCAGACTCGATTATTTACAGACCGCCGCCGTATAGCTGGAATATTGCTGAGTGCGGCGTAAAACTAAACTCACTCACTCACTCACTCACTCAACTCACTTAATCTCTATCACTGTATATCCGTTACTGGCTTCCATCTATGGCCATTCACTCTATGTAAATATGTTGTACAAACAGTATGTATACCCTATTTAACTTCATCCCCTCACCAACTCTGTGGCTTCCTGTACATACTATATATACCTCTGTAACTATTTGCTGCCATTCACCTGATGAAGGGACAAGTATTAGCCCTGAAACGTCGTGTGTAAATAATAAAGAAGTTGCACATCCATATCAAGTGTGTTGTATTACCCTACCATCTTCTTAAAGCCTATCAAACATCTGAACAGCCATATAGCTTTGACAATACTTACTACAAAGTGAATGCTATCTCCATGTATTACACTGATAAATCAATGTTTGGTACCAACCCAATATTAGGATATTATTAATTTATGCATAATAAATTGATCTTATTTGGACAGATTGTTGTGTAGTCCATTTAGTTGTGAGAGTGAATTTGTAATATACCCCCTGTATATGTCACTCGTAACAATGCCTACGGGTAATTTATTGACAGTTCTAATTGTTAACAAAGTGATACTGTTGTAAAATCAAATAACAGTTGGAGGTGATACGGGAAAAGTTTCAAGTACTATCATACTATTCGGATTCTTTGGTGGTAATACCATAGCATAATGGTGGCACATTGGTAGCAGGACTTATGTTAAACCGATATGTCTCGCAGTTCAATTATTCATCTTTTCTAGAGTAACTTCGGTTACTTTCTCGTAATTTCAATCATTCTTTCGGTTTTCCGGGTTTATTTTCAAAACTCGAAAATTCGAAAAAGCAATTTCAATTGTGAAAAAGAATAATCAAAGGAGAAATATTTTGTTTAAAAATATTCATAATGAGAAAATAATTGAAATTACGAGACATTAACTGAATTTTGGTGAAAAATCCGAAATTGTTTGAAAGAAATAAGAAGAGATTCTAAGCAGTAAGAAAACAAATTCGAAAAAAACATTTTCCAACAAAGATTTAAATAATGAGAAAATATTTGAAATCACGAGAATGTTAGAGTTAAGAAGAATTGATTGAAGTTATTTGAAAATCGCACATTTTGTTAAATTACTGAAATAATAAAAACGTATTCGATACAGTGGGCAAAGCATTTGAAAATTTGAGGTTTTCAGAGTAAAAAGATTAAAGTAAACGCAAGAAATTAACTAAATTTTGTGAAAATATTTGAAGTAATGAGAATATATTAAGAGCCGAGGGCACATTTTGGGACATTGAACGTTTTTTAGAAACATTTAAAACAATCGAGATTTCAACAAAATATTGATTGTAAGAAAACAATCCAAAAACTATACAGATAACTGAACTAATGACATATGTGGAAGAGAAAGTTATGACATTGTTATCCAAAACCTTGTATTTCAAAGGATGTCCTTAAAACTACTCAAATGTTAAATCTTACAAATCAGCAATGCAACAGAAGACATGTTTCTCTCCTTCTCAATATGATAAACCAAACCTTGTTCAAGTACTGATTACTATCTGAAAACATGTTGAGGCCTGTGACAAGGTCATTACAGTGTGAAACAGTATACAAGACACAGTCGTTGGTAACTCATCGTGATATATACATCTGTGCATAAAATAAGCACCACCCTGTATTTTAATTAATTTTGTTTGAAATGAAATTCTAAACTCATTCCAAAAAATAACCTTTATAATTTGATAGACCAAGCATTTAACATTTCAAAAACAAAACATTGAAATAACCATGTACTTTAATCAGGATAATTGCCTATATTTAAAACAGGTGTTTTTCTGTCCTAAAACAAGTAACCTTATTTTGAAAAGTGAAAGTAATAATTGATTGTTGTGTGGCCTATACATTCGTTTATTGTGAATGGATAAAAGTTTGTAAACTAAGATTGAGGAAAAGTAACAGTCAAACAAAAAAGAGGGAAATTTTATAATGCAGTAAAAGTGTCTTTACAAACAAAACAAAAAGATTTTAGCTTTAATTATCAGTATCCGGCAAGAAGAAGTGTTCATTTATTACAATAAACTCAAAATCATAAACAAAATATTCCAAAATCTTATTAATGTGGCCTTTTTTTCAATTTTTGTCAATTGGCAATCTGAATTGTGGGAAAAAGGTCTGAATCTTTGACATTCGGGTTCTTCTTGATTATGCATTATTAAAGCTTACTTGATGTGTAAATGTCATCTTTGTATATGACAGAATTGTTATGTTTAATCAAAACTTAATTTACTTGTGTAGTTTGAGCAGGAGAGGAATAGTTATTTTGGGTATAAATTCAGTCCCATCACATTTTCATCAACATATTCTTTCATAAAGAAACGAAAATGTGATGGTATTCGTAAAACTGTCAGTGGATAAAGCTTTTTTAACTACAGATTGATTAGATTGATGGCTATACCCTAACTTTTCTGTAGCATCACATCTTATTTTCAAAATAGGGTGGTCTTTAATTAATGCACGGGTGTATAGTTTTATACCAAATCGTTCAACACGCTCGCTTCGTCCTGTATTACATCAAACATTACAATGATATATGTTTTATAAGAGGGCTGAAACTGTTTTGTGAATTAGATTGTGGTTTTGCGTAATTAGTTTAAATGTTATTAAAGGGACAGAACATAAGTTAATGTTTTGGCATTGATGTTTTACTTTATGAAGATTGTTTTCTAATTAATCTGGAAAAGGTCACTTACGAGTGTCAATATGCGATCACCATTCTGACTTTTCAAGTGTAAACCTATGTGCCTGTACAACACTATGGAGTTTTGTGTTTGATGTGGTCACGTTAAAATGTCTTATACAATCATACATATACACAAACAATATAGTCAAAGTAGCTGAATTATATGATCGAAAGCAAAAGTAACTAGTAATCTGTAACCAAAGTACGTAAATCGAGATTATTCTTAATTAAGACCTATTCATTGTTTTGCTGTGTACATTGTTTTGCTGAAAACGAACACAATCATTTGCTCATAATATACATATTTCAGTAAAAACTGTCTATGGTCACGTGCTGTTGGCGTGATTCAAGGGCTTCATGGATAGTACATGCTACAAGTTAGTCACGAAAATGGTCTAGGTAATTTTTTGTGTCTGACATTACGAGAAATAATAATCCAAATGACAATTACCTAAACGAATTTTGATGTAGTAGGACTTATCTAAAATACCACACGTTTCAAAATATTTAAGAATGATAAGAATGATATTAAGAAGTATATATGTGCCTTTTTAGAAAATTATTAATGTCATTTTGTGATCAGTATGTTGAAATATTTAAATAAACGAATAAGTGGACGCATGATTTGGAACCTTTAGGCAGGCGAAAATGTTACGTCTTAATAAAATCGCGAAAAGCTAAATGAAAATCTTTACCTCCACGTGCTTGGATTGTTTCTTGAAGTTGGTATGTGTTACCCATTGTACCCATCTGAGTAATTCATTCTTGTCGTTTAGCAAAAGTTAATGGCAGCCTTGTGTGGCCTGTGACATTTACTAGCACAGTATTATCATGTTAAACTATGGTGAAAAGATATTGCTAATAGTGACAATTAATTACCAAATCCGTTTTACGATTCCGATTATATCATGACCATGTTCTTTTTATGAATAAGTGAATCAGTGATGACATCAGGTGTTCGTAATAAAGTGATCGTATTCACCGGTAGCTCAGTTAACTAAAGTCAATATTTGCGATATATTAATATTGGACAAAGGCGTAGTGTAGTTTAAAGTATCTTGGGGAACTTCAAACGTAAGCAAATACATTTCAGTACGTTTCGTGTCTTCAGCAAACACACCCGTGAAGATCCGGGTTAGAATTTGTTTTAGCACCAAATTGCTTGTAAGCGACGACTAACGAGATCGGGAGGTCTGACTTGGTCGACACATACACATACGTCATCGTATCCCAATAGATCGATGCTCATGCTGTTGATCAACGGATTGTCTGGTCCAGACTCTATTATTTACACACCATATAGATAGTACACTGCTGAATGAAGCGTTCAACAACAAACAAACTTACCAAACAGACAATTCCATGCCCTAGCAATATATACCAAATATCTGATTTCACGATATTCTTACCACGTCATGGCTACAAAGTGTAGAATAGTTTAAATATTGTGATCAAACGCACATACCCTAAAAAAATCAACACACAAACGAACACATCAATATTAAACCAGTTCATCGAGAACAATTGCCTCGCCTGATAATTAACCAAAGACCGTATAAAAACAAGTTTTAATTACATTGAATTGTCGACAGGATTTCGATGTGTTAGCAGTTGCTTGCTGTGCTGAATAAAAATTGATATAAACTATACTCAAAACGGTACACTCTGCTGTATACACTATTGACGTTAACTGCTAGATTAAATAAACCAAGAGTTTACTCACAGTCTGGGTGAAGCCTCCTTCAACAACGCCACGTATCCCACAACCATGTACAGACTTGTAAACATGCTCAATACATGCATGGCTGTTGTCAGTCAGGGGTTCAAACTGTTTGTTACCTTGAAACTATCATAAATTTAAGCATATCCACCGTATCTAAAAACGGACTCAACCCTTATCCTCACCCTGGTGTTTTATGTTTGTCTGCGCGTCACTGTTGAGTTTTGCCACACGACCACAGATTGCCCTGCACTAACAGGACGTCAGTATGCACCTTTTACAACTTGCCCTGCTGAGAAGAAGTGAACAGACATGATACAATAAATTAAGAAAGCGATTCTCAGCTGAAAGGAAGCAGACACTCTGGGGAGAAAAACGAGGCGAGTACTCGCACAATGTAAAAACAATTTACCCGGAAAGTATTGGGTCCTTCAGGCGAGCGTGTATATGAAGAGGTGAGGGTGACACCGGCAACACTCGAGATGAAAGTTGAAGTAGAATTTTATGACGGCAGAGTGATACTTTGAAAACTGAAGAGGTTATTAACATAGTTATGCAACTCAAGTATCGTGTCTGCGATCTTTAGTGTATTAAGATAAACATTCTACACGTTAATCTGGTCATACTGAGAGGTTAGAATTGGTTTATCCTTAGAAAGGTTAATTAAATGTTCTGCTGCAAGTAAATGATTTCTCCAATGATTTCAAAGAATGATCTTCTAATCATTGCGGAAGACATGAATTTATAACTTACTTTGCAACCCATGCTACAGACAATTCATAGGTACGACTTTGTGATTTCTGTGTGTGTTTGTAATCTCCCAAGGACGGTATTAACGTTGCTCGTGATATCAATCACAGATGAGTCTGGTAGTGAGGTTCCGGCTTTGCAACCCTCTGCTCCTCAAGTTGTCCTAAAGTGCCGCACGTCTATATAGGTTATCACGCGATTGTGGTTTGGGATGGTAAATATCCTGCATTAGGAATAAACAATGTTTTTAGCGAGCCTTGACGAGCTAAATACATAGTGTTTATTCCTAATGCAGGAGATTAACCATCCCATAACACACAAGTGTGATAACCTATTTATCATACAATGTCATTCTTACTTTATAATTTTAAAAAATGCGATTTCAGTTGCCACAACTAATGAAAGTAACTTCGT